ACTGCTTTCTTCATTTTCCAGGGTGTTTGAAAAAATTATCTTTAGAAGATTATTAACACATATCTGTGCTAATGATATCTTGGCTAGTGAACAATTTGGATTTCGTCCTAACCTTTCCACTGAAACTGCTTCACATACTCTATTAAATAAAATATTAACAGCCATCAATAATAAAAATAAAGTAGGTGGAATTTTTTTTGATTTGGAAAAAGCTTTCAATTGTGTAAACCATGAAGTGCTTCTATATAAACTTGAGTTTTATGGTATAACTGATAATGTATATATGTTAATAAAATCGTATCTCCAATTTTTTACTCGTGTTTTACAAAAAAAAAAATTATTACTTCCAAACTTAATTGCAACCCGTGGATGACTCAAGGGATACGAATTTCTTGTGAAAAAAAAAGAGGAAGTTATATCTTAAATATAGACAAGATGATGATCCACATATTAAACTGTATTACAAGAAATACTGTGAAGTACTTACTAAAGTTATTAAAGATGCTAAGAAAGTACACTATGATAATAAAATTTCAAAATCTTATAATAAAATAAAAACTACATGGTCAATTATTAAAAAAGAGACTGGAGCTAAAACTCAGAAGGATGAACCCCAATCGCTGAAAGTCAATAACAGTATGACACAGAATAAAAAGTGCATTGCAAACGTACTTAACAAATATTTTACCTCAGTAGCTCAGACAATTATAGATGAATTAAACAATAACAAAACTCCAACCAACATCAGCCCATTATACTATCTGGGCAATAAATACACGTCTACCTTTAAATCTATCAAATGGCAGTATGTCTCAACTGCTGAGATTAGAAAGATAATCAAATCTTTGAAAACCAAGTCTTCACATGGTTATGATGAAATTTCCACTAGAATTTTAAAAGCAAGTATGCCATATATAACTTCGCCACTAACTTACATTTGTAACCAATCCCTTGCCCAGGGAACGTTTCCAGACAGAATGAAATTTGCTGTCGTTAAGCCAATTTTCAAAAGTGGTAATAAATATGAACCAGCCAACTATAGGCCTATTTCATTATTGACAGCCTTTTCTAAGGTTTTTGAAAGGGTTATATATAATAAATTGTATGAACATATAGACAGTAATCTTATATTGGACAATAATCAATATGGTTTTAGACCTAATTCATCTACAGAAAAAGCGTCTTTCAAATTAATAGAGGAAATACTAAAAGCAATGAATAATAGATAGTTTGTTGGAGGAATATTTTGCAACTTACACAAAGACTTTGACTGTATCAATCATGATATACTTATCAAAAAATTAGAGTTTTATGGAATAACTGGCAAGTTTGGTGCCTTAATTAAATCTTACTTGAATGGAAGATATCGAAGAGTAACCCTTCGCCCTAGCAGTTCTATTTAATAGCTCGTCTAGTTGGGCAGAAGTAAAATTTGGTGTACCCCAAGGTTCAATTCTTGGCCCACTTATTTTCCTCTTGTATATAAATGACATAACTAAGGTTTCAATTAATGGAACAAACATATTCTTATATGCAGATGATACAAGTATAATAGTGACTAATCTGGAATATGCTGACTACAAATCAACCATGACCAGAATATTTTGCAGTATTAATACATGGTTCAGAACCAATCTGTTAAAATTAAATATTCATAAAACCCACACTCTTCAGTTCACTTTAATGAACTATGAGGATCATAATATGCATAATAATATTCATCCAAATTTACCGACTAACTTGGAGTGTATCAAATTTTTAGGCCTAAATATTGATAACAGGCTGTCTTGGAAGAATCATATTGATTACCTTGTTACTAAATTGAGTTCGTCTTGCTTTATCATGAGAACAGTTAAGCCTATGATATCATTAAGTAGCTTAAGAATGATTTATTTTGGGTATATACATTCTGTGATGACATATGGAATTATCTTCTGGGGCAGTTCTTCATACATGACAAAACTTTTTATGATCCACAAGAAAGTTATAAGGATTATGATGGGATTAAAGAAAAGAGATTCATGTAGAGACTCTTTCAAGGAAATGAAAATTCCGCCTTTGTGTTCACAATACATATATTCCTTAATGCAACACACTATAAATAACATGCATTTGTTTATAAGAAATATGGAGGTTCATAATATCGGTACCAGACAGAATGTTAACCTATTTCGCCCGAGTACTTCTCTTAATAAAGTTCAAAAGGGTGCATATTGTTCTGGTATAA